TTATATAATAGTCTTTAATTTTTGTAAAAAAAAAAATTGTAAAAAAAATTTTTATTTTTATTGTAACTAAAATGCTTCTTTAAATAAAGTTATTCTTTTAAACGATCTATTGCTGTTGAAATTTACACAATACCTCTTCTAATGTACATACTACATATTCTATGAGTTCGCTTTCATCATCATCATCATATGGGATATTATTTTTTAGATCTTTAACTTCAGCTTGTTATTCTTCTTCAAAGTGATGCAAGCGTTCTAATAAAGACCGAATATGTTCATCAATACCGTCTTGTAAGAATAAGAGGTAATGCATGCACTTAAATCTATTATTTGTATAACAAGATTTGTGATAAGTGTGACCGCAAGATAAAACTTGAATAGAATCTGTATTAAAAGAAATAGAACAGTTAGATGCATCGCAATATTGAAATTGATCTAGTCTATGTAAAGTATTAACCCCTAAAGGAAAATGACACAATCGTGCTTCCAGCATTTTTATTGCTATTAATGAAATAGAAATTTCATTAATTTTATGATGCTTCTTTAAAGATATATTTGGATTCACCTGTAATGGAATTATTAATAGCAAATTATTGTGAAATATGCGTATATGGATTTCTGAAAAACATTGCAAAAGAAAACATGCATTTTTCTTTATTAAATAAGTAATATCTTGGGCAGAATATTTATAGGTAGTTTATGTAGATGTATGAGCGATGTTTTTTCTAAATCCATTATCATCTAGGCATAATCAGTTGATAAAATATCCATATTTAATGATCTGTTATGCCTCAGTGTATTTCTGTATGTTCTGACGTAGAAAGCTATGGAATATTTTAACAGTTGAGTCTGAAAACTTTGGAAGTTCAGCTTTAATAGTTTTTAAAATAGGATGATCGTTTAACTCTCGGAAAAATATATCTGAAAGAAATATTAATAGTGCTTTAGTATAGTTTTTGCAACAGAATTTGAGAAATACAACCCACACACGAATGCATGATTCTAGATAAGCGTCAAAATTGTCAGATCAGAAAAATACCGCATAAACATCCAAAACCAGAGGAATTAGGTTATCAAGCAAATCTTTCAGTACAAGATATTCAGCATCTTTGCATAGGAATCTAAATTTTGCATCAACATTTGTCAAAATTTCCTGCTAAGCGTCACAAAAAATCTCTAAAAGAAGATTAATATGCCATAGCTTAGGCTTTTGTGCAAGAGAACTTCGTTCTCCAAAAATATACTTATATATAGCCAAAAAAGGCCGATATTGAAGGAATATTAGTTCTCGACTATTTAACGAGATATGCAAGGGATCTATAATAGGAAAAAATAATAAAATAGAATTAGTGATATTTGATCGATCACGATATAAGATAAAACAAGAGATAGCCATCCTAAGGTAGATTTGTCTAGATCAATCAGAAATGATAGGTATAATATATTCCTTTTGAATATATTGTTATATAGATGGAATATTTACAATGACATTAATGGCCTTGATATATGTATTTAAAGAATGGAGATTATTTTTTTGTAAATCTATGAGAACTACGTCTTTCATTGAATGAGCATCCCGTTTCTCTTTCAATCTAGTATCATAACTATATACAGTTAGCTCTTCTAATTTAGTATTATTATCAATTGAATGGAATCCCCAGCGTTGATTATGCGAAAGACCGAGAAGTGTTATGAATCTATTATTTAGATTCAGTTTTATCAACTCTGTGTTGATCAACCTAGGGTTGTATATATTCATATTTAGAATCGCACACTGTGTAGTGATCAGGTTCATTAAAATTGTTGTCAACTGTGCTGCAGTAAAAGTTGTGGTCATGTTTGGCATCCGTTTCATATGAATACTATGATAATCATCGATATTTAATATCATTGCCTTCTCTGCATATTTTGCGAGTGTAAAATTGACAGTTTTAGTATGGTTATTAGATATGGTAGTTTATGCTGCATAATTATATGAGATGTTGTAGTTACACTTAGATTAGTAAGAGTATCTATGGAGGCATTAGAAATACTGGTAGAATCCAAGTACATCATCAATTCTTTCTTTGCGATATTAATGAACTTGCTACGAATTCTACAGAGAAAGTAGCATATATATAAGAGCTGCTTTTTTGCCTGTGCTCGTGAATTTTCATTTTTTGAAGAAGGGTTAGAAGAAAGATATAACTCGTCAAAAATGAACTTAATCTTACATCTTCCTCTTCCATAACCGCATATAGAGTTCCGAAAATGACTCGCATAAACTCGCATATTTGACTCGCATGATTGTGCATAATTGTAAATTTTAGTTACACATAATAAATAAGTACTTTAAATTAAAGGTATGTAGGATAATTTTGACTCAAAACTCGACTCGACTCGACTCATTAGGAATACTAACTGCACGAAATTCATCAAATGAGTATATTGCTGATTTTTTTTCCTTTTTTTCACAGTATAAAATATTAGTAATTATTTCTATTACTTTAAAGAAAGATAAAATAGAAGGTGGAGGTGGTGACACCTGAAGTAGAAGCAGTGGTGGTGGCAGAGCCAAAGGTGGTAGTGGTAGTGAAGGTTAAACTGAAGATGAAGGTGGAGGTTAAACCAGAGGTGAAGAGGAAGATTCCAGAGCATATTTTTAGAATGCAAGTGAGCAGTTTACCACAATTCCGTTATAACAGTTTAAGCAAATCTTATCACCTATTTGTAAATATCCTGGTAAAGTTTTATTAGTTTGACCTTTTGAAATAATATACTCAGTTACCTTTTTTCATTGTACTGACTGTTGGGTTTAGTATATTGTAATTATACATGATTCCATTAAAAGTACTTGCCTCTAAGTAAAGTATTTTTAGATTTTGAATTTTTTTGGGATTATTTTACACAGTGAATGTTAACACACTTTCGAAGCTAGAGAAAAAATTTTTTTATTTTTTTTATGTGAAACGTTACAATCTTAAAAAGTACTCTAAACTATATAAATAATGTATCCAGCAATTGAATAGGATCAGCCAATCATGTAAATATCCGTCTATGATTACGTAATATTATGTAATTATAAAGAAACAAATTTCTAGCCTTTTTGTTTACTATAAAAAAAATTTTTAATATGCCACAATTATTCTTAGAAAAATGGACAAGAATTTTTACGCTTCTTAAAGAAGGCTATCAAGCCAATATCATTGCAGCTAAAGAATGTGTTTATAAGTCTACAATTACAAGAATTCGTTAACGTAAAGAAAAAACAGATAGTTTTGAAAATAAAAATCAGGTCATTCCTGAGTCATTTTCATTCACACTGAACATAAAATTCTCTAACTTGTAACTTTTAATAAATGTTCTACAACAGTTGCTATATAAGGTGACATCAAAAACAATGATAATATCTAAATTTCAGCTGAAACCATACGCAGAACACTTCAAAAAAATGGTCTAACATCGAGAATTAAAAAAAAGAAGCCTTACTTTAAAAAAACACACTATAAATATCGCTTAGATTTTAAAAAATAATATCGAAATTGGTTAGAAGAAGATAATCTGATCTGACGAAAGTAAGTTCATGCTTTTTGATTCAGATGGAAGCCAGTACTGTTGAAAGAAACTAAAGGAACTATTAAGAAGTCTTCATGTCAAACCAACGGTAAAATTTGATAGAGATAATATAATAGTTTGGGATGCTTTTTAGCAAAAGGTGTTAGCAACCTTTGTATAATTAATAGCAGCTTAAATAGGAAACTTTATTGGTAAATACTTGAAGAAGATCTTATGGAATCTATTTTAGATTAGGGATTAAATATTGATAATATAATTTTTTAACATGATAATAATTTCAAATATACGATAAATCTTATTAAGAACTGGCTTTCTGATAATAAAGTGATTGTATTTGACTGGCCTGCATAATCTCTGAACTTAAATCCTATAGAGCATTTTTGAAATGAAGCTGAATGTCATTTAAGACACCTTTCAAAATGAACTACAGGAAGAAAAGATCTGTGGGAAAAATTACAAGATGTTTGGTTCAGAATTGAGGTTGATGTATATATAAATTTAATCAAGTCTATGTCAAAAAGGATAAATGATGTAATAAAGGTCAAGAGGAGGTATATAAGGTAGTGAATAGATGTAATTTAATAAATAAATGTGTTAGTACAAGGATTTGTTATAGTTTTCAGTTTAAATTTAACTAGTTAAATATTGATTGCTAAAAGTCACATAAATAATGCAATATCAAAAACTTAAAAATTGCGATATAGATTTTTTTTACGTAACTTAAATCAGAAAAAAAAATATTTTTTAATAAATTTTGATTCAGAAAATATCATAACTTTTTTTTACTTTGATATAATTTATAAATAAAAAGTTACATTAATTTAAAGTTTTGTGTTTAGCAGTTACATTACTTTTGTGAGTCATTGTATATTAAACATAAATTCAAATAGTACATTAAATTAATATTAAAAAATCGTATATTCAATATTATTTTAGCAAATCAGTTTAATATGAAAGTTTAATTCATTAGAATGATAACAAATTGATCCAAATGAATAATAAATGTATCATTCCTTAGAAATAATAAAACTATTGTACTTAAGGAATAATAAAACTATTATTTCTTAGAAATGATAAAATTATTATACTTAAGATATAATTAATGCATCATTTTAGATATGATAAAATTATCATTCTTTAGAAATAATAAACTTGCCATACATAAGGTATAATAAATACATCGTTCCTTAAAAATGATAAAACTATTATACCTAAAATATGATAAAACTATTATTTCTTTAAAATAATAATACTATCATCCCTAAAGAATGATAAATGTATCATTTTTTAGAAATAATAAAACTATTGTATCTAAGATATGATAAAACTATCATTCCTAAAGAATAATTAAACCATTATACTTAAGGAATGATAATACTATCATTTCTTAAGAATGATAAAACTATTATACTTAAATGCATTGTTCTTAGATATAAAACTATTATACCTAAGGAATGATAAAATCGTTATACTTAAGGTATTATAAATATATCATTCCTTAGAAATGATAAAACTATTATACCTAAGGAATGATAAAATTATCATTCCTTAGGAATTATAATACCATCCTACTTTAAGGTACAATAATATATCATTCTTAGATATAATAAAACTATCATCCTTAAGGAATGATAAAATTATTGTATTTAAAATATAATAAATGTATTGTTCTTAGGTATAATAAAACATCATTTCTTAGAAATAATAAAATTATTATCCCTAAGAAACAATAAAATCATCTTATCATAAGTGCATCATTCTTAGGTATGATAAAATATTATTTCTTAAAAATAATAAAATTATTATGATAAAACCATTATTTCTTAAGAATAATAAAACCATTATACTTAAAGTATAATAAAACTATCATTTTTAAGAATGATAAAACTATCATCCTTAAAGAATGATAAAACTATCATTCCTTAAAAATGATAAAATTATCATTCTTAAGAAATGATAAAGTCATCATATCTCAATCAAACGTCAATGTGCTATAAATAAGATAGGTCAAATTTTAGATGATTTTTGATATATACCAATTGACTATTAGTATATCAATCAGCTATAAATAAGATAAGTTGAATTTTAGCTAATTCTTAGTCAATTTCTGATATATACCAATTGGCTAAGCCAGTTTTTGATAATTTGCTAATTTTAAGCTGATTTTAAGCTGATTTTTGCATGTATAATTTTTTTAATTTTGACCAGTACATGCAAATATCACTCAATCTTGCCTGATGAAAATTTTTTGTAATTATTATTCTAGTGCTACTTTTAGCTATCTTTCTACATTATTCTTTTCATAAATTTTCTTTAAATAGTTTATTAATTATAATATCAAATAGTTGGCAAATGTTAGTCAATATACTTAGAATTACTATTATTATATTCACTTTTACAAATATTTATTTTAACAAATTCTTCTATTTAATTCCTAAATAAAATATATTATAATATAAAGCATTTAATTTTTTTGTATAACTTATAAAATAGAAAACTTAGCAATTTTATTAGTATTTAAAATTAAATATCTCTATAGCAAAAAAAAAGGTATTTAATTATAAAGATATATAATATAAAGTTAAACAAATATAGATAAAAAAAATATGTTTAATATTCTTCACTTAATAGCTTAAAGTTTTTATTCTAAAGATTTTTTAGTTTTAATATTTTTAAATGAAAAATTAGTCTAAAAATTTTTTAATCATTTAAAAGCATTTAGTTTACAAATCTTTTTGGTTTTATAATAATAAGATAATTAGTTTATTTTTAATAAAATAATTAGTTTACAACACATTTTTTAATTAATTCTTAGTTTTTATTTAGTTTATTTTTTAGTTTTTTTATTTTTTTAATTTTCTTTAATTATTTTATATTTAGTATTTTTTCTTATTATTATTAATAAATATATTATTAAATTAAAATAATTTGTAGTTCTTATATCTCTATAAATTATCTTACTTATAATTAATTACTAATAATATTAAAATATCATTTACATAATTAATTATTATATAAATTTAAAAGATTTATTACTTAAATATTCTGTTTAATTACTATAATTCATAAGAATTATATATTAATAATATAAGTTAATTTATTATAATTAATAAAATTATAAATTATAATTAAATTATATTAAGATAAAATATAATAAATTTAATAATTATAAGAAATAAAAAATTATATAAGAATAAATTAATAATATATTTATTATAAAATTAAAAAATTAATTAAATTAAATTAATTAAAAGAATTAAAGAAATTAAAAATTAATTTTTATTATTTACAATTAAATATTAATAATATCATTAATTTTAAAATATATTAAAAATAATTAATATTAATATTTATTTAAAACTAATTAATATAATATAAAAAATTAATTAAAATTATATAATTAATTTTTATATGTATTAAAAATGATAATAATTAGTTATAATTGATTAATAATTAATTAATTATCTAATTTAAGGTTTTTGACCAACTGATTAATTAACAGACTAATTTAAACTAGTCAGTTAATAGTATATAATTAAGTAGTTTAGCTTAATAGATATTTTAATTTAATCAAATATTATAATTTTGATTTTTGCTTTAACAATTCTAGTATAACATTTTTTAAAACTGCTTTATTTTTTTTTATTTAATAGTATAGTATTATTATAAATTTTAATTTTTTTTTCAAAATTTCAATACATTTTCAACTTTTTACATTATAATATATAGCACTAATATTAGAATCAAGTTAGTTTTGTTCATTATATTATTTTAAAATTTTAATTTATAAATAATTAAAATAAAATGTTGATTTTTATTAATTTAATACAAGTATTTTTATTATTTAAAATATGATTATTCAATCTTAAATCAGTTATTAACTAATTAGTTAAAATCAATTAGATCAATCAGTCAACTAATTAATCAGAAGCTTTTGACTGATTGATATTAGTTATAGTTATAACTGATTATAACTATCATTAGCATCTTTAATATGTATTATAAAATTTTAATAATTAAAATTTTTTAAAAATATCAATTTTTAATAAAAACTCATAATAAAAATACCATTTTTTTTATTATAATATTACTATTTTTTATTAGTTATATTATTAAATTAAATAATAAATATATTATATTATTAATTTCAATAAAATAGTAATTTAAATTACACTTTATAAAAATTTAAATGATTTAAAAGAATATTATTCAAAATAAACTTTTTTTTTGATTTTTATATAATTTAAATTTAAATTCTATCAAAAATATATAGATTATTTTAAGAAAAATATAGAAATAAAGATTAAAAAATTAATTATTAAAAAATAAAAAATCTTTTTTTTAATACAATTTAATTAGAATAGAATAATATTATATTATTTAGATATTTTGACAATATATTAAATTAGATTAAAATATATATCAATATAGAAAAAAATTATATAAAATATCAGTTTTTAAATAAAAAAAAAATTATATAAGCAGAAAAATTATAGTAAATTTAAAAGAATTAAAATTATAAAAAATTATTAATTATTTTTAGAAAATTTATATATGATTTTAATAGTAAACCTTTTATATATTAATAAATATATTAAAGTTAAATTATAATAAATATTTTATTAAAATTTTTTTATTATTATTTATAATAATCTTTTAATCTTATTAAAAAGATACTCTCTTAAACAAAGCAAATAATAATAAAATTAAATCTTTTAATAATTTTACTATATTTATATTTTCAGTCATAAAAATTTATAAGATAATAATAATACATTAAATTTATTTTAATATATAAAGTAAAAATAAGGTTTATTTTATTATTTATAATATACATTAATAAATTAAAATACTATAAAATAATGATTTTAAATTTGTATAAAATTAATATATAATTGATATATTTGTAATTTAATCTTTCTAAGATTTATTTTTTTACATTTTTAATTAATAATATTTACTATTAATAATTTTTTAAAATATTTTAATTTAATAATAATAAAAATAATAATAAAAGAAAACAATTCAAAGTAATTATAGTATTTATAATTTATGAAAAAAGTTTTCCGAATCACATTTTTTTTTTATTGTATTCTGAAATAAATTGAATTGCATAAAAATTAAAATATATATTCTTTATTATTATAGAAAAAAGGTTGTTTAAGCTTAATTAATAGCTTATCTTATTACCAATACCTACAATTACTTTGTTCTGACCTTTGAGGTCCGAACTATTTGATGGCCAATCTAACAACCTTGGACACCATTCTTTAGTATTAGATTTAGACATAAAGGTATATAAGATTTGTTGCTGATATACTGCGCGAATTATTAAAAGTTTTCTATACTGAATTTTTTATTCAGAAAACATTTTTCGTGTACTTTAATTTAAACTATTTTATAAATATTAAAGATAATATAAATAATTATAATATTTTATATTTTTATTTAAATTATTTATTTAGTTTATATTTATTATAATTTTGGTTTACGTTAACATTAAACTAGATGTATTTTTTTTTTATAATGATGCTTAGTTTATAATAATAATAATAAAAAAAAAAAATACTAAAAAAATAATTAAATATGAATTATATTTATTATGATTATTTTATTGACATTTAATTTATAAGATTGTTAGATTAAAATTAAAATTTTAATTTTGATCAAAAATTTATAGACTTAATAATTTATTGTATAGGATAATTGCTATTTTGAAATAAAGAATATTCAATTTTAATATGAGATACTTAACAATTCTGAATAAATATTCGAATGTTAATGTAATTTAATATATAACTTTATTTTATAATAATAACGATAAGATTTTTTATATTTCTTGTCTATTCATAATTACAATCCGTCTTAAATACATATTAAGAAGATTATCTATAGTAGTACGTAACAATTTTATAAGTCAGTTTTTTTGATTTTTCTAAAAAATAAATTTACAGAGATATTTGAATATTATTAAATCTATTCGTTTCCTTAAATTATTATGCTGATTTTTCTGTTTACGTGATTTATTATTTTTTAATTACAAATCTGAAATTTAATTATTATGTAAAGTTTCAAATTAGAAAGATTCATTTGATTTTTACATTCATTTCCTATCCTAAATAAAATAGAATAAATGGTCAAAATGTTTTGAAAGTTTTTGCTACTATGTGAGCAAATAAAAGAGTTTGATGTCGTGTCATGCATGAACGGCGTAATTCACGCTGCAAACATATATTTTGCTAAACTTAAAATTGTTGTAATATTCAACTATTTCCATACACTAATCCTCAACAAATTTTTTAATAATATACTCTAACGAAAAGAAGCTTTACTTTTTCGAAATATAAACTCACCTGGTCGAAAAAACGTTGTTCAATATTTACATATAACGATCTTTGCCAATTGTTATTTTTAATATTGATTGTTTACTTTATAAGCAAAATTTGGCTTGCCTTTATGTAAAAAAAATTTATTTTCAAAACTCACAAATTGATGTGTTATTATTTAGGTTATCTCAATATCAATATCATATACCTCCTTTAAATAGCATTTATTTGAGCGCGGATTTAATGTATGTGCCATCACATATGTTATGAGAAGACATATTCAATAATTCTTGTGAAGATTGTAACTAATTATCAATGATTAATCAGCTTTCATGAATCTTTTCCCCTGTCTCATTGTTCAAAAATAATTGTAAGAAAAAAAAGAAATTAAAAAAAGAAAAATTTTGCGATCGGACTTTCATTCCTATCATCCGCAGTAAATTTTTCATTGATAAATGCTAATTCTTGAGATTTTTTTTTGATTTTTTTACAAAATCGAAAACACTCTCTTTGTGCATGATTATGCATCACGCTTCTCCCAATACATTCCATTTACTCCCATTTTCTGTGCTACATTTCATTGGGAAAACGTGATAATTATTAAATTGTCACTCACGATTTTATATAAAACTGCCCAATATGGGTATTCAACATTTCTTTTCATTCACATTTTTTTTTTTTTTTAAAAAAAAATTTGTTTTCGTGTAACGCGCACTTATAAAATAAAATATGGATTCAAGTTTCAATGAAAGCTCTCATAATTTAAAACATGATTTGATTTTAGAGAACTCGAATCCGTCATATAATGTAGATGATGAAAAAAACGTCTTATTTAGTCAAGTGAATGTCAAAGGATTTGATAAATACTCAGAGCTACTTGAAGACGAAATCAATGCATTAGATAATTTAGTTGAAAATATCCAGGATCCTCGTATTGAAAAATACGATCAACTTCTTCAGACTCATAAAGGATTGCAAAAAGGAAATGAGGAATTGCGAAAAAATTATGAAACATTACAAAAAAATCATGAAGAATTACAAAAAGTTCACGGTGTATTACAAAATGATCACAAAGAATTACAAGATAAATTTCAATCTTGTAAAAATGAAAAAGCACAAATAGCAAATCAATTAAAACAATTAAAAAAATTAGAAACAATTAATACTAAAACCATTGATAATTACAAAAAAAATGCTGATTATTACGAAAATTATGTTGATGAATTAAAAAAAGCCAATGTCGACTTGAAAGAACAAGCATCGAAATACCAATCAGCACTTGGAATTGCAAAGACCTTTCGATTAGGCGATGAAGATAAAAATAATTCCGTACAACTTAGAGATGACATTTTAAGTTTACAAAATGCTCTAGAAATTTACATAACGAATTTAAGACCAAACATATCAATTGATATAAAAATGGTAAATACTCTTTTTACCAAATATCAAAGTAAAATTAAGTTGAAAACAAAAGATAATGCTTTTTCTTCTATTAAAGCTGTCTTACAACGTCATGTCCTAGAAACAATTTTCGGTTATATAAAAACATATTTTGATCGTACGAGTTCAATTTTTGAACGGGTGTCATTTTTTAATCGTAAAGATGATTATTATCTTGAAGCACAGTTTGTTAACAAGGCAAAAGAACTTGATAAGTTAGCAAATGAATTCGCAAGTACACGTGATGGAACTGATAATGTAACTTCGGCTGTACCCATTAAAATAAGGCAACAAATTTACGCAGCTTTAGGTACTCGTGGATTTTCCGACATTGTGATTGATGAAAACAAGCCAAATGAGCATAATTTCATCAATTTGCATAAAGAAAAACTTAACAAAGAAATGGATTCTTATCGAAAGATAAACGATCCTGCTAAAGAAAAAGAAATCAAAAATAAAACTGCAGATATCATCCGTGAAGTTGTTAGGATATTTTTCTTTCGTCTCAAAACCCAAGAACCAATTGCAGAATATGAATGGATTAGTCCTAATGAAGAATTCGATTCAAATAGAATGACAGAATCCTCACATGAAGATGATATAGAAAATGCATACGTGGATTTATGTATTTTCCCTCTTATTTATAAAAAATCCAATTATTCGTCAAATTTACAAGTTTATACTCCTGCAAAAGTCCTAATTCACTATAAACAATAATGGAACCAAAGTATAAAGATTTACCATTTTTACAATTCATTAAACTCTGAAGGTTTCTATTTATTTTATTAACGTTAAGATAACTATTTATCAAAAGGAGAATAGTAAAAATGTCAAAGCGTGGATTTTTTTTTTAAAAAAATTTCATTAGATTAAAATAATTTAAATAATATATTTATTTTCTCAAAAATTCTATATTGTACACGCTCAAAGTGAATGAATCAATCATTCTCTTTTTCTATTTCAAAAGTAGCAAGATAGTTTTGACCATTTTTTTCATTTTTTGCGGTGGCAGTAATTTCCATGCTGCCAAAAGATAAACCAAAGCTAACATTTCTATTAAACTCACTATTCGGAAAATTTATCTTGAGCTTTCCTAATAATTCCATCCCAGGTTCATCACAATATTCGGCATCATATTCTCGTGTGTAATATATAGAGAATACCACAATTTTTTGCAAAAGATCAATGCGACAAAAATTTCTTACAATGATCTCTTTGTCAATTTCAATTTCTTCTCCTCGCTTAGCAATACGATGAAATTTCAAAATATCGCCTCTAAAATTCTTTCGTTCTTTTGGATCAGTTGACTTCCAATTTTCATAAATTTCAATTCCATAAGTGAATTTTAATACACGAGTGGTTAAAATACATCTTACATTATCCCCATTTTCTAAATTATTGATCTTGTCATAAAATCCTAAACCGTATAATGTAGCGCCACGAACTATGGCAGCAATGGGATGAGTAGGAACTGAAATCGTCTTCACCCTATCTTTGAATTTTAGTTTAATGCAACTTTGTAAATATGCTGATTGACTAAACCCACCAACTAAAAACATCGTTGAACATTCACTACGACAATTTTGAAGTTGTACCGTTATTAAATTAATGATTCTATCAACAATCGGATCAAACATTGATTTAATATCATCATAATTAATATCAATAATCCATTCATTTTTATCCATTGAATTTTTAAAGCTACCAGTAACATATTGTTGCAATTCACGTGCTGTATCCAAAATATCTAATTCATAATGAAAATTTTTATCTTCACCTGTGAAAGGAAGTTTGGCATGCCGACAAAATTTTTGTACCATATATTGCAACTGTTTATAATTATTTCCTTTTAACTGGTTGATTGCAGAGTCTCCTAAAAGATTTCCCAAAAACTTGAGAAATTCTTGGTCGATAAATGTGCTTCCACAATAATCCCCTGCTCTTTCAGTAACTTCACCAACTTTTTTTTCACCTACAAGTTTTCGAGTTGTTAAATCCACTGTCCCTCCTCCACAGTCAACAATCATGAAAGTTGCTAAAAAAAAATAAATTGAAAAATTACAAAATGATTCTTTATTTAAAATAAAAAAGATATTGCAGGGAAAGAAAAAAACTTACTTCCTATACCAGTCGTATCGTATTCTCTTAAACAACTTTCCATACAATAGACTGCAGCAGCTTCGGCTAATTAATTATAATTTATAATTTTGAACCTTAATATTCGAACTTTATAATAATATAACAAAAAAAAAAAAATTCCAATCAACGTACGTTCAGTAGTAAATTGTAAAAATTGTGTATTTTTGTCGTCAATTAATTTGGCATTGTATGCACATTTTCTCAATATCGCCTTTTCTTTTTCTGAATATTCTGCGGGAACACTGAGTACCAAAAGGACATTCTTAAATAAATCTACGTCATCCCAATGGATTTTAAGTGTATTTCTAATTAACTTTTTTTTTTTTTTAAAAAAAAAGGAAAGAAATATAATATAATATTAATATATATGTAAATAAATATCATTATAAAAACTAAAAATCAAATTTTTATTCTTACCTTTCCAATTTCTTCAAGGTAGTCAGTAATAGCTTTTTTATATTTAATAGGAAGTTTAGGTCTTAATTTTTCATCTAAATTTCCCAAATGTAATTTAAATAATTCCACGGGTCTAGTCTCTGATTTATGTTCACCCCTTCGACTTCGTTTAGATAAAGCAGGCTTTCCCCATTTTTCCACTTTATCGAAGTATTTATCATATTGAAGAACAGTGTTTGTTTTAAATTGACCAGCGTTATCAGGCCATTGATCGTTTGTAACAATTTCTTTGTTATCAGATGCTACATGACAATAAGAAAATCCCTATGAGGAAAAGGTAATTACTAACATATTTAAAATTAATTTATAATATTAACGAAAAACTAAGTAAATGCATGTTTACCGAATAAGTAGTTCCGAAATCTTTAAAAAGAATAAAAGAAATATAAATTGATTTTTTTTTTTTTTTTTTTTTTAACAAAAAAGGATATTTTAACATTTTATTCCTAAAGGTAATAATCAATCGTATATGAATAATTGTAATTACCTATGCCAACCACCACTCGAATATCATTTTTCCAAGACATAATTTCAACTTGGTATTTTAACGATTAAATTACAAGAAAGAATTTCTGTTAGTATATTTATATATACTTATGAACGTCATCTATATACAGCGGCACACTCCAGTAATCAAAATTCCGACCAAGTCCAAAAAAATAATGTTAGTAGTACATTTTTGACTGAATGTTAATAATATTCTAAAAAAAGGTTTACGAAATAAGTAGAGATTTTTTTAAGTAGAAGACCTAGTCCCAGTTCTGCAAAGCAGGAATTTAAACTCCACAAATGGTGTGACAATGGTTACATAATCCGCAGCGGACTAAATATTCTTTATTCTTTCCTCCTTTCAATTATTTCCAAAACCATTTTGGTTTTTATTGTCTTACGTAAGAGGTATGTGTTTTTGTTTCTAAATTTGGCAAACAAGGAGTACTTATGTGATATAAAATATAAATATTTTTTGAAAATATTGAATTGTCCGAACCAATTAAAAAAAGAGATTTTAATCATCTGATTAATATGTTGATATTATATGATCTACGATTGCTTTCTTGATAAATTCATGAGAATCGCATTTAAACATTTTTTAACGTCAAATTTCAATCGCTTATGAATTATCCTGTTAATTTATTAGTTATCACAAAAGATTCTTTCTCCTGCTAACAAGTCGACTTGACATCATTAGGTATGCCTTTACGTTCAGTTGATTTCAACCATTTTTATAATTAATTAACCCGGCATTGAATGTACATCTCTATCATAATAGAATTTTTAATTACAACTTTAAAATTTTATTTTTGGCCATTTTTTTAAGATGTTATGGTCGTTTTAAATTAATCCATTTCGTAAAGTTCCATATTATAATTAATCTACCAGTTCGTTCATTTAATTACTTTAGAGATTTGAGAAAATTCTCTTGAATTTCACTATGGTTATAATAGGGGCTTACCTATATTTGACGCCAACATCTTGAAAAATATATTAACATAATATATTATTATAGTGGGTTAATATTGGAGTCAGTTAAATTTTTTTTAATTAGTGAAAAAAGAAAGAAACTTTTTATTATTTTCTACAATTTCTTATCATACATAGCGACTTAATAATTAAAATATTACGAATCTTTAATGAATCAGAGCATGATATTTAACATGAAACTTCGAATTTCAAAATTTATGTCTAATATTAAATACCTTTCTGAATGAACAAGCTATTACAACCAAATGATAAAATATTAAAAATCCTATTGAAAATCAAGATCAACAAATACTGTGCGTTAAATGAATATGGTATTAGAAAAAGAGAAGTTCAATCCTTGAATTTTAATCTCATGAAATGATAAAAACTTTATAATAGTTTTTTATTTGTAATTATCACGTGCTATTAATGAATGGAAAAAAAATATATTTGTTACAGACTAAAAAATTTCTCGCGTGCCATTGATTTCTTTGATGACTTTGCCCTTATAAGTTTGTAAGAACTTTCTATACTCTAAACTAATTTTTAATTTTCTATAATGTCTAATTTGTAAGAATATTTCTAAAAGGATTATTTCCTTAAAATATCTCCAAGAGATTATCTTAATGAACGTATACTTTAACAAAAATCCATTCCAAAATATGTAATAAGTTCTTGCGGACAAAAGTGAAATTCTGTTTATTACTGAACATTATAATAGAGTCAAATCTATATTTATGTGTCTAATTTATTTATCTTCATTCGTCTCATAAATTACATAAATTATTCAATAATCACTGAATAATCTAATAAAAATCACTTCTAATTTATATTGTTCCTATTTCATGCTGATAGCAAATATCCAAATTATTTTGTGCACTGATACTTCCAAGTTTAGCAGAATTCAAAAACCACTCAAAAGCTTTCTTCTCATCTTTATTTGTTCCAATTCCACATTGATAACAACGTGCCAGGTAATATTGTGCAGTCTTATCTCCCATCTCGGCAGATTTCAAAAACCACTCAAAAGCTTTCTTCTCATCTTTAATTGTTCCAATTCCACGCTGATAACAACGCGCAAGGTTATATTGTGCAGCCCTATTTCCCGTCTCGGCAGATTTAAAATACCATTCAAATGCTTTGATCTCATCCTTTTCAATACCTATCGCATATTGATAACAACGTCCCAACTTTCTTTGACCATTCGAGTTACTATTATCAGCAGATTTTGAATACCACTCAAAAGCTTCTTTTTCATCTTTAATCGTTCCGATTCCATTTTGATAACAATATCCTAGAGTATATTGTGCAGTATAATTTCCTGCCTCGGCAGATTTCAAATAACATTCAAAAGCTTTCTTTTTATCTTTATTAGTTCCTATCCCATAATGATAACAACGTCCTAGAGAATATTGTGCGGTAATATTTCCTGCATCGGCAGACTTTAAATACATCTCCAACGCTTTTATCTCATCCTTTTTAATACCTATCCCATATTGATAACAATGTCCCAACTTTCTTTGACCATTCGAACTTCCATTTTCGGCAGATTTTGTATACCATTCAAAAGCTTTTTTTTCATCTTTAATCGTTCCTTTACCATATTGAAAACAATCCCCTAATTTCCTTTGACCACTAGAATTTCCATTTTCGGCAGATTCCAAATACCATTCAAAAGCTTTACCTTCATCTTTACCTATTCCTTTATTGTATTGGTAACAACGACCTAACTTATATTTTGCTGAGACTTGACCTCTTCTCGCGGATATTATATATCGTTCAAACCTTTTCTTTTCAATTTCCATCTCATGTTGACGGTTCAAATCTAAACCAAGATTTTCTTCTTCTTCTTCATTATTACAAGTTTCAGGATTATTATTATCAAAATTTAAATTTTCTTCTAATTTCGAATAACTTTTCCTTTCATCATCATGTTCAATTACATTCGCATTTAATTTATGAATATCTTTAAAATTTTTAAATTGCGAAATTATAACTTTGGGTTTAATCATGGTCAAACCAATCGAATTCCCCGAATTACCTTTAGATAAAATGATATCCTTATAATAAAACAACGATAATAAATATTTTGCTATTGTGTTATTAACAATTTCAACTTGTTTAATTGCCAACGAATACATTTTCAATGCGACATCTTCATTAACGTTACACCCTATCCCATGTTGATAAAAAAACCCAATTAAACTAGAAAACCATGTTTCACTCTCTTCATGATTCTGCATGAATTCAAGGAATGTTTCAACATTTAAATCGTTTTGTACAAGTGTGATCTTTATCCATTCGATTGATGAATTCTCAAAATTATCAAAAGAAACCGTATTGATGATTTTCTCATAAAAGTCCTTAATTAATTCTTTAAAGGTATTTTCATCATTCTTGAAAAGAATCAATTTTGTTGGTATTGTATTATCCATAATCGGAGTTTTTCCTTTGTGTCAAGTTTTGAAAGAAAAAAGGAATCAGAAATTGAAAATTTACCCACATGAAGAACAATATATGTACTACATACATTATGATAACGTAATCAGAAAATCATTGTGACCGAACAGTTAAGCCATTTTGGACGGAATCTATCAATTTATTAGCGATACTGCGCCATCTTCAATGACTTCGACACGTGGCATTGATTTTACTTGTGATAAAACTGATTTTTTTAAGTCCCGTCATGCATTCGAAAATCTTTGTTTTTTTTTTTTGCGGGTTATGTAAGTCAGTTCATTAGCGAACGTTAAGACATCATTATTTACTATCAACAAATAATAATAAATTAATCATATAAAGAATTACAGTACATTTCGATATGGAATTAGAATATTTTCTCTAATTTGAATATCCATAAAAATGATAAAAAATTGTCGCTATAGTACTAATACAAAATACAGAAATAAAGAAAAAGGAAAATATGTCCTGTTGAGATATGATAGGTATTGTATAATATTCTAATTCATTTCTTAACTTATTTACTTATGAAATATATTATTCAACTTTTACATTTGATAAAAGACATACCGATAATAAATAACTCGTTAATTTTTTGGTTATCATACCATTGATGTCAGATGACACATTGCCAATGTTATTAAGGCCTGTCATCTGGGTTATGTTTCCGACATTCTAAATAAGGTATCATTCCATGTAAACTTTTTGTATGTGCCAATTAATTTATTCTTTGGGTGCTAAAAATGATAAATTTTATAAAAGTATTAGTTATATAATATAATGAAATTTTTTAAATAATAAAATTAATCAAACTAACATGATTCTCATTATCATGAGATAGAACTCTGCAAATTTTAATTGATTTGAAAATTTCCTTTAAATATTCCCTTAAGGTACCGCTGTCGGCATATTCAAGAACGAGTAAATAATTCATTTCGTTTGGAATATTCATCTAAAAAGTAATATAATGGTAATTTTATCATAAATAATTACCACATTAATGAACTTTCTTTTTTTGTAATTCCACAAAGTTTAATAATATTAGGATGAAAATGAACCCTATTCATTAAATTAACCTGAAATAAAATAATCAAATCAATAAAATCTATCAAGTCAAGTTCAATTAAGAACCTTTTGAAGCAAAGGGTATGAAAATACATTAATAACTTCATCAATGTAAAAAAGTTTGTAAACTTTTAATCGCATATTTTTGATTGATAAACCTCCTAAACCAAATTCATCTATTATTCTAAAATCATTGGTCATTGTAATAAAATATTAACTAAATAACTCATTATGACAATATCTCAGATTATGTAACTCTCTTTAAGGCACTTTGATAAATTCATTAGTTTCCGGATGTTTTGAAACCCCTAACGATAAGAACCACTTGAGTTGAAATTCTAATGTATTTTAGGCTATAATAAAATAACAAAACATTTAGAATAAAATACAATGTTTTTTTCAGTTATGTACAGGGGGTGAAATAAATATTGAATAATTTTTATTTGATGTTTATTTATATTTATTTGCTACAATAAATTCGTATAATATATTTAATATTTAGTATGACCTCCTTTAGCAGAAATAACTGCATAGATTTGAGAAGGCATTGAATTAATAAGTTTTTGATATATTTCTTTAGGAATCGACTTCCATTCTTCAATAACCATTTTTTTTAACTCTTAGATGTTAGATGCTTCGGGTTTACGTTTTCAAAGTCTAGACTCAACAATTGATCAAAGTTCTTCAATAGGATTAAGGTCAGGACTCTGTGGTAGCCATTATAAACGTTCTACTTTACTTGAAAGAAGAAAATCTTGTACAATTTTTGCTGTATACACTGGTGCATTGTCTTCTTGGAAAACAAGCTTTTTTTTGACTTTTCGTGATTGTTCTTTAAGGGTTAGCACAGCATAAGTTTCAAGGATTTCACGATAAGTTTTACCAGTAACAGAACCAATTAATGGAATAATAGATCTAAGACTAAACCATGAAAAACAGCTCCAAAACATTCGTTTAGGACTGTGTTTTACGGTCGAGGTAATACAATCTTCATTAAATTCTTCTTCAGATTTTCGCCAAACTTGACCCCAACCTGAGGTTTGAAACTGAGAAAAAGTAGATTTATCTGACCAAACTACTTTTCTCCAGTCAGCTATTGTCCAATTTTTATGCTATTTCACGAAAGCAAGTCTTTTGATTTTATTTGCAGAAGAAATCAATGGTTTTAGATGAGGCATACATGATCGAATGCCTTCTATCCTTAATGCTTTTTGGATAGTTCACTTGGATACTTTTCACCTTTATTTTGTTTTATAAAAAGCTGACAAACTTCTTTTAAACTTTAGCGCCTAGAATCTTTATTATTAAGAACAGCTTTTGACAATTTTTTCCATTTTGCACAGTCATTATTTGAGAACGACCTGATCGTTTATTAATAGTTTGATTATTTTTTAACACTCGAGAAACTGTTGCCTGAGAACACTCAGCAATTTCTGCAGTTTTTTCTTGCGTAATACAAAGTTTTTGGCATGCAAAAATTGCACCTCTTTGCTCTGAAGTAATCTCTTTTGCAAGACCCATTTTTTGCGAAAAATTGCGAAAATTCTGAAAAATTTTAAAAAATTTAAATCAAAATAAACAAATAAACAATCAATTTATCAATAAAAACAAATCTATTTTTGATTAGAAAAGCATTATAAATTACTATATTTAGCTTTAATTAATAAATTTTCATATAAAATTAATTTAATAAATCTTCGCGAAAAAATTATTCAATATTTATTTCACCCCTGTATAGAGTCTCTTACTTTCATTTTTGCAGTGATGTCACGTGATTTATATTATTACTGTTAAAGTTAATTGATTTATTGTTTCATATTCAGAGGGATGTCATCACTCCAATCTGATGATAGGGTAAATGATTATTTCAGAGGACTACTTTTAGTATTCTTAAGCAAAAATTATGAAGCTGTAGGCTTATTAGTCAGTTTAGTTATTTTCTGTAAACTATCTATAATGATGTTAGTAAAAGTAATATTAGGATTAATAGCTTCTTTACGAAGATGAACTGGAGCTTTATAGACGTTGTATTATACTAGTTAAATCTTTGGTATAAGTATTGGATACTTCTATCTTGAGGAGTGTGACATTTTTTTGGACAATCTTTGATTTTGTGATGCGATGAGAAGCAAATAGCATATAATTTGACTTTAATTTCAGTTCATTCTATTTGTTTACCATTGATAATGAGATTGTTATTACTGATCACTATTTCATAATTATCAGCTGAAGAAAAATAGAAAAATGCATATTGTAGATTATGATAATTGGATCTGGCTTTAGAAATAATTTAAGCTGTTACATTAATTATCAAATCCAAATTGGATAAGTCTTTACCCATGGTATAATGAGGAAGACATGTGAGTTTGGTTGAGAATTTAGATCATTTTAAGATTTTATTACATAGCAGGTCACATATATAGAAACGAACCATATCATTAAGGAGGAAAATACCATAACCTTTCTTTAGTTTAACAAAGTTAGCATCTGAATAGTATGTGATTATAGTTTATTGCTAGAGGTTTTTTATTTCTATGTTGAACCTGACGATCTTGCTGAATTAGGAGAATATCTTTTTAATATGCAATTCTGTGATCTCTAATGGTATCTCAGTAACTTTGATTGATTATTGTAGAACAAATAGATGTTTTAGCACGATTTTGAAGAATAAAAATGTATATTTTCCAAATTAGACAAATTAACTTTGCAAAATGCGTTCCTTTCATCCTTGTCGAAAAATGTCACTTTTAAGATTTTCTTTGATTGATTCTCTAGGTATTTAGCAAATACAATACCCAAAATGAATCAAACTGATCGAAAATGAGATCAGTAATATTAGAAATTTTTGTTTGAAGGGATTTTTCAGGATAGTTGTTCACAGGAAAAATGTGAAAAAATTCATTTTTTTAGTGAAAATTTTTTGAGGGTTTTTTTTGGTCAAAAAATTTTCTGAGACGTCGTTAGCGTTATCAACATTTATTAGTATTTAGTTAGAAGTGACAATTGGAGTTATTTTACTTGTTAAAACTTTTTTACCTTTTCCTTTATCGAGCAGTAGAAGATTGATGTCTATAATAGCTAGAATTTCTTTATTGTTGTTATTTAGTAAAGACACTACTTTCAGATTCAGTAGTTTGTAAAGTATTCTGTTTTTTACTTGGTTGTTGCTCTGGAGTGCCAAGATGATAGTGAGATTATTATTTTTGTTAGTTTTTGTTGTTCTCTTTCTTTTGTCATGGCATGGTAGCGATAAGAGTTTTTTAAAAAATTTTCAGAGTTAAAAAAAAAATTTTTTTTTTTAGTATTCGATATACTAAAGAAATCAATAGCGAAGGAATGACATGCATAAGTCATGTGAATCCTTACTATTGCTGACATAATTATTGAAAAGATCTTTACTGACTCAATTATTAGCCCTAATCCTATCGATATACTACAGGCAACCTCATAGGAGCAGAATCCCTAAGGTCACTGGATCTTAAAATCACTTCAAATTTGGATAGAGGGATCACTTTCAGTCACAGGTATTTTTAGTTGATTATTTTCCTTGTCTTTACTAACACCAATCAGAATTACTATTACCTCTGTCTAATATTAGGGTTTTTACACATGATCAAAAAGACTTAGATGTTATCATCTTTATAGGATCTCAGAAAGGTAGGTAGCTATTGATTCATATCATTAAACTTATTCAGGAATTGAACCCAGCTTCTATTCCAAGTGACAGCTCAATTGGATAGTTGCTGTAGCAGTATAATACAGTCTATTATCAATTATAATTACTTCAAAGGTATTTTGAGATGTCATCCAATCTACTAATTACTGGTTAATCACTTCCTTACTTATGTAAGGGTCCTTGAAATTAAAGACATAAGACAGTACCATTACAGGTCTATTAGCAAAGACTAAGTTTCTGTCAATCTTTGCCTTCATTTGCATCTACTTGTTCTGCAATTTTAGTATTTAGCCATGATTAATACTGATTGATAGATCAATTAACCAGTTTCTAACGCATATTAGTATATATGCTTACATATTCAATTACATATAAAATTCTTATGAAAATTATCTAGTTTTATGCCTCAGCTGAGACTTGAACCTATGGCTATTGCAGTATAACTTACAATAGGAACTCAATTATTGCTAACCAAACTAGAGATGCCAATTCCAGAGTTAAAAAAAAAATAAAAATAAAAAAAACAAAAAAACAAGCTATTTTTAGACAATCAGTTATAATGTAAACTGATGACATGATTGAATAATTTATAAGAACGCGTAAACAATCAAATAGTATAAAGAAAAATAATTTTTTTACATACATTTTATAAAATTCAAAGTGAATTTTACTCTTAATAAAAATTTTTAAATTTATCATTAATTATTATAATTTAAATACATATTTGAAAAAAAATAAAATTTTACATAAAAACTGTAATTGTATTATTTAATTATTATATAAATTACTGTTTTATGTAATCTTAAAAATACAATAAATCTTAATAAAAAAAATTTTTTTAAAGAAAATTAATTATATTAAAACAAAATAATAACTTTTAATACTTTTATTTGATACTTTTTTTATAAAGTGTAGTAATTTTGTGATATACATTATATTGATACAATATTTAATAAATTATATAAATAAATATTCAAAAAAAACAAAGAAATTTAAGAATTAATACAGTTATGAAAACCTATTACTCAATGAATATTAAAACATTCAAGATGAAAATTTATATATAAATAGTTTTGCATATATAGAACATTTTTACTTAATGTGTATTAAGCAATTTACTTTAATCAAAGTGATTATATTATCTTGTGAAATTAAAAAAAAGGTTTACGCTATTAATAAAGTTACAAAAACACATATTACAATACAAATATTAATCAAATTAAGATTAAATTTTATATACATATAATATTGCATCTGCTGACTATAATTGCGATAGTTCATGACATAATAAATAAACTTAATATGCGTAATATCAAAAAAAAACTTTGTATTACAATATGGCTAAACTTAAATTTTTTATTTTATAAATTTATCAAAAACATTTAAACAAAAACTTTTGACTTTAATCACCTAGAACGTGAGATCCTCGCTATTTTATTAGTAATTTAAAATGACAAAAAATAACAATTTTTACTTTAAACCATTAAAGAACTAGCTATAGCTTGCTCAAATAAGTTTTTTTAAATTTTACAACAAATCTTATTATTCAATTATTAATAGAAAGTATTTCTAGAATTTCAACATCTTGTGCTAATTCACCACTTTCTGTTTTTCAACTAGCTTTTCTTGCATAGTATATCTATTCATTCTTCTATTTTTATGAATATTTTCATTCAAAAAAAAATATTCTAATAGAGTTACAACCTGTGAAGCGATTCTTTTTCCTGAACCTTTTTTACTATATTTTTAACTCTGTTTTAAAGCCCAGCTACATAATAAAGGAAATATGCTTATATCTATAGAATTACTATCAGTTAAGATAAGCATTAGACTTTTTTCTAAATAGTTTTAAATTTTTATATAACTTATATTTTACCTATTTTGTGATGTATTTATATTATTGCTGAGAGTTTTTTCTGATGTATCACTTATAATAAAAATCTATTATTTGGTGTCTTTTTTATACCAAATCACCTTTTTTAAATCTACCAATTTTTTTGACTGTGTTTCTTTTACCATTTTATATTTATTAAATTTTGAGTTTTCTTATAATTAATTCTAAATAGAGTTTTTCTGTCCAAATCTTGTAATATTTTGACATTTTCCAGACATCATTGGGATTACTACCAATATATATGAACTTATTTTGCTCATTTTGATAAAGGTTACTGAACAATGTTATTTGTGAATTTCTTGTACAAATAATGTTTGTATTTTCTGTTCATAAATTGCATAAATAAAAGATAATATGTATTCTGAACCTATGTATTCCAAATTTTTATGATTGAAAATTCTTATCATTTCAACAAATATTTGTAATTTTCTAACTGTAATATAAAAGGTTGAAAAGAAATATTATCTAAAATTTGTTTATTAATTTTCTTATTATTATAACTACATATTAGCAGACCAGAAAATCTTGTTTTTGAACTAAATAATCTCTAATATAAAAAGTTAATTGCCTCAGAAGGAATATTATCAACAGAACTAACAATACCTTTTGCTTTACAAATATAGTCAGGCTGAAAGGCAGAAACTGAATTTCCTTTGACTACAGTAATTATAAAGTCAGTTTTTTTAAGTATAACTAGAGTTTTTATCCCTAAGCGTATAGGATATAATGTATTATTATCACGTGACTGTTAATAAAAATATCCTAATGCCCTATAATGTAATTCTTCAGCTAATTTTCTTACAGTTACTAATAAAATGTTATATTATTTACATTTACTCATTATTTTAAATGTTTTTAAAGAATAATAATCCTAAATAACTAGAGATTCTGATGAGAAGTCATTTTCATATTGCAATTATCATTACTGATCATTAGTAAATTTATTTAAATTTTTATGTTTTATAGATAGATCACGAATTAAACATTAAATAATAAACAGAAAAAAGTATTCAAGCACATCAAACTTACTATAGTATCTTAATTATATATCTTAAGTATGTTAATTTGTCTAATTTGAATAAATACACATTTTTACCCTTAATATTGTATCAAAACACCTATTTGTTCTACAACAATCAATTAAAGTTACTGAGATACTATTGGATACTACAGAATTACAAATTAATAAGATCTTCTCCCGTTTTGATAAGATCGTTAGATTTAATATAGAATAAAAAATCTCTGATAATAAGCTACAATTACATATGACTCTGACGCTAACTTTATCGAATTTAAAAAAGGAAATGGTATTTTCCTCCTTAATAATATAGTTTATTTCCATATTTATGACCTGTCACATAATAAGATCCTAGAATGATCAAAATTCTCAGTTAAATTTACATATCTTTTTTATTACACTACGGGTAAAGACTTATTCAAATTGAACTTAATGGTTAATGTAACAGCCTGGATTATTCCTAAAGCCAGATCTAATTATCAAAATCTACAACATGCATTTTTCTATTTTTCATCAGCTAATGATTACAAAGCAGTAATTAGCAATAATAACCTTACTATCAATGGCAAACACGTAGAATGGACTGAGACCAAAGTTTAATTATATGCTATTTATTTCTCATCACACTATAAAATCAAAGATTGTCCTAAAAAATGTTGCACTCTGCAAGACAGAAGCATTCAAAACTTATATCAAAGATTTCAACCAGTATAATACAATAATTATAAAGCTCCAATTCATCCTCACAAAAGAGTCACTAGTTCTAATGTTACTTTCACTAATATCATTACAGATGGTCTATATGAGACAACTAAACTGAGCAGTAAATCTATAGCATAATAATTACTGCTAAAAAATGCTTAAAATGATCTTCCAAAATAACCTTCTACCCCAAGCTCAGCATGAAGTGATGATATCCTTCTGAACATAGAATGACAAATCAAACAACTTTAACAGCAACAACACCTTTACCTTAAAAACTTCACAGAAATGATTAACACTTTGGTTAGCACTTGTAATACATTCTGTGTAGTTCTTATCTATAACGATTTATTACAGATAGATAAAATACTAACGTCATATGCTCTTAACATCACTTATGATACAGAAGCAGACAAGGCTCTTCAGAGCCTTCCTTAATTTTAATTAATGTATTATGATTACTGTCTCTATAGATATTAACAATAGTCTCTCATCCTTATCAAATATTTATTTCACTTCAACTTCTATTAATATTCTAAAACTTTCCTTCGTAATCCATAATGTTTGATTATTTACTAATACTGCTAAATAACATCATCTTCTTTCTTTATATTCTTTGTATAATTTAGAGATTATTGGTCTTTAAGAAACTAATTTCAAACTACAATACGAAAAAATCTTTAACCTATTGCATCCATCATTTATATCATTTTTTAGTTTAACTCTCAAACAATGAACTGCATTTAGTGTGAGAATAGTTCTGAAAAAATAAATCATTTATCACATTTACAAATATAATACCAAACTCAATAGAGTCATTTATATTGACTTACAATTCACAAATAAATAAAAACTTCATATCATAAATTGTTATTCTACTGCTAGCTAACTTTAATATATAGAATGAAGTCAAACTTTTCCTTAATAGATAGATCAGAAAAACCACAATCAATGATTTTTATGTAATCATCTTAGGAGATTTTAATGCAGATATAGATCAAACATACAATTCTACAAATGCTCTCAAATTTTTTGATGATTTGTATAAGCTATCACTCTTTGATTCCTTTATAGTAAAATATAATTGCAATAGAATACATTTTTCTACTTATCATTCAAGCTATACCTTTTTAAAGATCAATTATATATGGACTTTAACATATATCTTTATAAATATTTTAGACTGCTAAAGTTGGTAACTGCAATTAAATTATATAAGTTGCAACTTTATAAAATTTATTATAGTTGCAACTTATTGTAATATGATTATAATATTTATAATTATTGCAATTTTAAATTATAATTGCAATTTAAATTATAATTGCAACTTAATTTAAATAATAAATTATAATTAGTTGTAACTGATTACAACTAATTATATAAGTTTAATTAATTGCAATTTATTGTAATACAGTTGTAATTTTTATAATAGTTGTAATTTAAAACTGATTATGATCAGTTAATAATTAATAATATTATATATTTAAAAAAATTCACATGTTTTTTATATTTTAAAATATTTAGTTTTCAATATTTTTTATTTTTCTTAAAAAAAATAAGTGAAAAAATTTTATTTTTTCAAAATTCTAATGATATAAATGATATACTTTCAAGTTATTATACTGAATCATCAAATAAAATTAATATAAAAAAAAAGAAGAGGTCGAAAATTTACAGAAATTTAGAAATATATTAAATGCAGAAAGCAAAAAAGTTCTAGCAATTATGAAGGAACTTGCATTTATTGTAATCAATTTTGAATTATAGCTAAATCTTTAAACTTAAAAATACATTTAGCTAAAAATTGTTTAACATGTCTAGAAGAAATATCTCGAATTTTTATAAATGAATTAGCAAAAAATGAAATACAAGATAATGAAAAAACTAAAAAAAACAATATAGAATTAATTTAAGCATTCAAACAATACTTAATTTTGAAAAAATTAGACTTAGTGAATCTAGAATTAAAGAAATTAATAGCATTTTATTAAAAATATTTGTATGTTGTAATATAGCATTTAATATTGTAGAAAATTCCTTTTTTATTGAATTACTAGGTATTATGTGCTGGATATAATCTACCATCAAGACAAAAATTAGCTATAAAATTATTAGAAAAAGAAGTAATTCAGATAAATCTAAAAATAGAAAAGGTTTTAAATAATACATTAAATTTAATATTAGCTATTGATGGATAGACATCACCAACTAAACGATCATTTTAGAATTTTATAATATTGACACCAACTAGACAAGGATATTTATATAAGATATAAGATTTATCTGAAGAAAAATATATAGGAAACTTTTTAGCAAAAGAAATATTAAAAGTAATTAATTCAATTGGAATTAAAAAATTTGCTACTATAATTATTAATAATAGATCAAATATAGCTGTAACACATAATTTGATTACCAATCAATTTCCAAAAAATTTTAATATTAAATGCATTGTGTATTGTTTCAATTTAATAACTCATGATTTTTTAAATCATAATTTTGCTGATAAAACAATTAAATATTGTAATATAATAATTAAATTTTTAAAAAATCACATATTGGTAATGATTTAATTAATAAATTAATTACAAAATATTAAATAACTGAAGGTGGATTAAAGATATTTGTTAAAACAAGATGGATATCAGTTACTGAATATACTAATTCAATATTACTTTTAAAAAATATCTTATTGAAGTAAGTAAATAATACAGTTAAATATATATATTGTTTAATTTTTTAATTTTATTTAATTATTATTTTTTTTATAATAGATTTATGAAAATAATTTAAGTGAAATTAGTAATATTGTTAAAAGAATAATCAATAAAAGGGTTTTTTTTAACAATGTTGAAACATTAAATAATATTTTAATACTAATTAAAAATGCTATTTTGAATATTAAAAGTAAAAATGCCAATTTTGCTAATTCTTACAATATATCAAATTCTAATTATAGTGGTTTTAAAAATCATTGTATTAAAAAATTTAATATTAGATTAGTTATTATTAAAATATATTTAATGATATATAATTAAAAATTAATTCATTTTTTTTATTGTTAGATTTGAAAAGTTTAATAGTGACGAAATATTTATGTTAGCTTTTATATTACATTCATAGTATAAAGGTAAAAATTATAAAATTATTATATTATTTTATTTAAAAAATATTAAAATTATTTTTTATAAATTAAGAAAAGGAATTCCTAATTCTCGAGTTGATGAATTTTTAATTAAAACAGGAAATCTTTGAAAGAGTATAGGTAATAAAAAGCTAGAATATCAGGAATTAGTATCACAATTACATTCTTATATTTTACAAGAGCATTCTTATAATACATCCTATTTACCATACAGTGATACCTCTTTAAAATAGTAGAGTACTTGTTTTACAAATTTGAGACAATTACAAGATTTAGCAATTCAATTATTCTCTATTACTCCAAATGCAGCTACTTGTAAACGAGTTTGGTCATCTGTTAGATGAATTTATGAAAAGAGATAAATTTATCTTAATTTTAGTATAATAGAATCTTTAACTAAAATATATTTATATTATATTGCAAATGCAAGACAAAAATTACATTATAATATTGTAGAAAAAGATACAGATAAAATAGTACAAATGGTTGAAAATTCATTGATCAAAAGTTATGAAGAAGAGGAAATAAGTGATGATGAAGCTCAAGTATTATTCAAATTAATGAACTTGCGATAGTTAATAATTATAACACAATTGAAAAATTAAATATAATGTCAGAATTTAATTTAGAACTGATAATTATTATAGATTATATTGATGTTTCACATTATGAAAAAGATCAGGTTGTTTCTAATAATGAAAATCAGGAAGAATTTAATATAGAAGATATTGTGTGTAATATTTTATCTTAAGAAAAATATTTATATATAAAACTTTTTTTTATTTCATTTTTTTTAGATATAAATAAGCATCTTTGTTTATTTTTTTTATATATAAAATATCTTTCTCAGTTGGGTAAATAAGTGAAAAGGTAGTATAAAGATGGTTAAAAAATAAGGTTTTTAGCAATTTTAAATACTTTTTCTTTAATAAAAAAACATTTGATTTTTTTTTAAAATGTTTATTTGAAAATTTAT